GAGTATTGTGTGTGTTGTTTTGTTTTGAAATTGCTCATCACAAATGAAATATTTTATAGGGGAACGAGAAAGAACGATCATCATTTTCAGTAGAGAAAAGCACTGGTTCAAGACAAACTCATAATAATTCGAAACGGAAATTGGGCAATCAATCGGATTATACAGATTACGAAGGGTTGGCACTCTTGTTCGACGAATCAAACGAAGAAGCCCTTATGGAAAGCATTGACGAGAAAACTCTTGCTGAAGAGGACAAATTACCATTAATGAGAGAAGAGGGTCGATCACAATATATGCGTGAAGACGTGGTGGAAGCTTTCCGAAAATATCAAAGCAGAATTCCCAAAACCCGCCGAGCATATACGTAAGTTTGCCTTTTTTTGAATAAAGACCATTGCCTGATTATTAATATATCACTTAATCCTATAGCCCTGCATATTGGGGAGTGTTCGATTTAACGAAAGAGAGCTTATACGGATGCAAGGAATTTACTGAAGATGATTTACAGCAATTATCTCAGGATTTTGCTGACCACATAAAGTGGAAACCCGAGTCTGTCACAAAGAATGTTGAAGATTACTTTGACAGTAATTGTGAAAAGGTTGATAATGATCAAGAACTCAGAAAATTTGATAGACACGTTCAGTTTATGTAAGTAATATAAATTATATTCTGGTTATCTGGCATTATATTCTGACTATGTATTGTTGTATAGGAAAGTTAATATGAATTCGTTTCAACAAATGCTTCCTGAGGAACAACTAAAAATGACGTCATCCTTTCCACTATTCCATGGGGCATTCAATTCAAGTCGTATTAAGGATGTCTGGTGAGTCAGTTGCATTAATTCCTTTTATGAAATTAATACTGAATGTGAACTTCTGTATCTAGGGGAGAAACTCAGGCTCTTTCGACAAATGACGCGCGAAATGAAAAAGCTAATCCGTTCAAGAAAGCACGCATGGGAAGGAAAGTAGATATGAAAGCAACCTTAGCCAAGACATCAAATAAATTCGAGGTTATTTACGGGGAAGTTGTGGGCGGTTTAGGACCATTAGGAATTCCCATGGCTTGTCGAAAAAAGCGGTTTTTGGACAAAGTAAAGTTAATGATAATAATGCGTGACTCTATCAATCGTTTGTTAAACGAATGTAAACACGTGTCAGAAAAAACTCGAACGAGTTTAATAGTTTACGGCTGGCTCCAAGTCGGTAGGTTAAACATGATAAAGTTTCAGAAAGTTCTTTTGCTAATGGATTTTATTTTTAGGTCTGGAATTGAATTTCTACGCGATGGACTGGTCAGGATCTGGAATTTATAGATTTGGGTTAATAGATAGATGCAGGATACCTGCAGATGAAGACGATTGCTTTATGTTGGAAGACGCATACTGTATACTTAAATCATTAGAGGTATGTTGTTATTGATCTTTTTGTTTATTTAATTTGCCACCAAATATCTAACTCATGAATCAAATGTAGAATAAATCGCTTGAAACAGAGACTACAGTGAAACAACTGTTTTCAGAAAATACGAAAGGTAAAAGACGCCGAATTGCACCTGAGACTGAAGCAGAACTGAACAAGAATCGCAC